TGCCAGCCATGTTGCCATGGTCAGCCGGGAGGTCCCCGTCTGCCTGCTTTCTCCCTTATCTCTACAGTAAAAATCTCCGCCATACTTTAAGAGAAATCATGTCTCCCCCTTTTATTTCATTTCTCATCCACTAACTAAATGACAGCGTGGGACGGACACATAGACAGGCATCACCAAAGGATTATAGGACACTGGACAGAGCCAGAGGTGAGGACATGGAGCTGGCCATTTGGCCTGACATAGGTGTTGAGCACACTGTGGCGGTCATAACTCGGGCTAATGTTAAAGTACATGGGCACAGCTGTTCAGCTACCAAGCTCCAGCAGCCACATGACACCAGTTGTCTTGTGTCTTCTCCTGGTGCTATGATAAAACACTCCTGACAAATGTATCTTAAGAAAGAAGCCATTTATTTGGCTCACAGTTCAAGGTTACAGTCCGTCATGGTGGGGAAACGGAGACAGTCAGAACTTGGGGGCAGGGTTAAGTTAAATCCATCATCACGGAGATATCACTGCGTGTATGAATGGCCACTCTAAGCTCAATCCTCTTTCCTTCAGGCCAGGGCCCAGCCCTAGAAACAGTGCCCCCCACATAGACGATAGGTTTTCCCCTCTTCAATTAACCTAATTAAGAAAGTCCTTCATAGGCATGCCCGCAGGACCGCCCAATCAGGAATATTCCTCATTGAGATTCCGTTCCCACGTGACTCCAGACTGTGTCACGTTGACAATTAAAAATAACAATCACACCAATCTTGTGCCACGCGCGTGACAAGGACCTGACAACCTTTCTTTCTGCCCCTTAACCTGCAAAGCAGGTGATTTCAGGTAGAGAGAGGGCTTGTCCCCCAAGCCTCTCTGAGGATGGGTGGAGGTTCAGTGACATTGAAAGGTCGTGGTCGCTATATATCTCAAAGATGAGACTGTACACGGCCACAAGTTATCTGCAAATGGATGTCCTTAAAAATATTTGTCAAAGGTGGCGCACACCTTTCATCCCAGCACCCAGAGGCAGAGGCAGGTGGATCTCTGTGAGTTCTTGGCCAGCCTGTTCTATATTCCAAGTTCTAGGCCAGCGGGGGATATACAGAAAGACTTTCTCAAAGAGAGGTGAAGGGGTAGGGAGGAACTGTAACAACGGCTAACACCAGAGGGTAGTTGCACACACCTTTAATCTCAGTGCTCAGGGGGTAAAAGCAGGCAGATCTCTGAGTTCAAAGCCAGCCTGGTCTACATCAAAAAATGAAACTGAGTAAAAATAAATAAAGAAGGAAAGAAAAGAAAGATTTTTTTTTCCCTCGAGACAGGGTCTCACTCGGTAGCCCAGGTTAGCCTCAAACTCTCTAGCATCTCTTCTTAGCCTCCCAGGTGCTGGGGTTACAGGTGTGTGCCACCACTTCTGGTAAGGAATGGTCTTAAACGTCGTGTTCATCAAAGGCAGCTCTTGCCTGCATGGACCAAGGATTCTCACTAGCCAGCAGAGGCTTGTTGTTAGTATCCAAGGAAACCTTCAAAGGCAACGCTTTAACATCCAACGGGAACCCCAAGACAATTTCCTTGCTGTATTTCACAACTTCCCCCCGGATCTGAGGAAGAGAGTCAAGGGCACCTATGCACGGAATACTGTGTGGTATCGGCTGCGTTTAGATTAAAATTGTTAAACCCGCTCCCGCCAGAATTTCTTTTTGCTAGAGGGACATCCTGACGAAGCACTACGGTGACTCGGGTGTTCTCTGGAGGACTCGGGAGATGACCTGTGTGGAACAAGACAAAGATAAAGGTGTTGTTGACATCTCAGGGTAGCTTCCTGCCAGGAGCAAGGTTGCGCTGCTGCTCTCTAGGAAGCTTCAGTGTTTTCGACGGTGGCCTAAAAGGAACACAAATCCAAAGGATTCCGGGTCAAAGAAAGAGAGCTGTCTGGGCATTTCACATCTCTCTGTCTCTGTCTCTTGCTCTCTCTCTCAGGACCTAACAGTTTGGTGGTGGCTCAGCCATCACCCTCATGACACTGTGAGCTCTCAGAAAAAGTGAGACTCGAACCCTTGAACC